AGAGATTTTCGCCCTAAGGCAAGAGGTTCGGATTAAAAATCATAATCCCCTTTTGAGCTTCCGCCAACCGGAAGAAATCACTTCATTAACCAAGGATAAAAGATTGTTTTTCAATACAACCACCAATTAGCAAAGAATCACACAAGATTCATCAATAATTTCGAAACCCCTCTCCAACACATAAATCGGTATCTACTCAAGAATACACAACAATAGCCCACAACAAATCACTCAAGAGGTGCACTAGGACTATGCAAAAATTGATTCACACAAGAATCTTGATTTAGAGTTAGAGAAAGGCAGAGAGTTGCGTAGAGAGAGAGAGAGAGAGCTGAGAGAATGAGAGAGTTAATTCTGATCTTTTTTGTGTAGAATTCTTCTTGCCCAGCTCTTGCCTTTGCCTTTATAAAGAAGTCCCATAAGGCCTCCAAATAATAAAGTAAGGTCCAGCCCAATAGCCACATTTCAGCCCAATAGTCCAGGCCCAATCATCATTGTGCCACTTTTTCTCTACAGAAATACCAACTAGTTAGATTGTTCCATAGCTAATATTTTAATCACTTGAACTTCGATAAAAATAAGACAAAAGTATTTATAGTTATTTCTATGCAATCTTTCAAGAGTGAAATCATTGGTATTGCTCTCCGAAATCACAGAGACCCTTGAAGAAGAGATCGATTTAACATGTAAACTTTGTGTACGTTGGAGTTGTATTAATTGTTTAATTTGAGTCACTCCTTGGCTAAACGCTTCACCTGAATGAGAAGTGTTAATTCTTTGTACATTATAATTTATTTGAACTCTTGCAGCTGATGAAATCTTTGAACAACATCCAGAGGAGCGAATCATTCAGAAATCTGATAGAGAGAAAGGAAGCTAATCAGGTAGTCTAATGTGCACATCGAAACTGTGGTTAGAATTGAACCTGATTTATATATGTAATCAGTCTAGGATATTTATATGAATTTGACATCAGGGGGATCAAATGAGGCAAGAGCCAGCTCGTAGGAAAGCAAGAAGACCTGCAGCTACAGTTATGGACTATGATCAAATGATTATCCCTAGTCACACATATCAATCTTGGCTTCGGAATTCTTCTGGTATCGTGTCAAAAAGGGGAAGAAAGCGAAAGGTAGCTTTCTCTAATTACTCATATGTCTTCCTTACTTCACTCGTTTCTTTACAAATGCCAAAACTAAACACTGCAACTTCAACTCTAGAGCGGTTCCATGAGCAAACCCAACGTTATTGTCACCATACATCAGGATTTCAGATAGACTAAGAATTCATTGCTTGTTCTTTTAAGTTTCCAGTTATAGCTTAACTTGGCTTAGACAAGTGATATTTAACTAGAAGTTTCAAATTTAAATGTGTTACAGTACTTGAATGTCATGTCTACACGAAGATAGCAACGCTCATGGAGCTGCCTCCTGTTGTTCTAATGGAGAGATTATTTATGGGCAACAGAGAAGTTCATTATCCAGCGCCTCTTTTGGAGCTGTGAATGAAAAGTACCCAACCTCCTCGCGAATCACCTTCTGGTCAGATTTTGCTCTTCCTTGTGCTTATGTTTCTCCTTCAGAAGAACAAGACTGAAAATCTCTGCTTGCATACAGGTAGGACCTCTGTGCCCCAACTACCTGAAGCATCATCGTCAACTCCACCAGAAAGAATGCATTTTATGGAGCCACCAGGACATGTAAACTACTACTAATTTCACCAAAGGAAGTTTTTGGAAGAGTCGTCTGTCTACGTCTAATTAAATGCTTGGATGTGAAGCTTACTGAAGGTATTCACAGTGGAATTGGCTCAACGCCAACTTCAATTGAGAAGCTAGTGTCTCCAGAAAAAGTCCGTAATAATTTGATGCAACATGAAGCCAATGGACTGATCGCAACTAAGGCCAACTCAATGACCACCCCAGCCGTCCCCAGGAACCTCTGGTATGCTAATATTTAAATGTGTACTTTGTTTACTTATCTGTGGAACTCCCAGTGAATAACGTGCTTATTATCTGAAGCTATAGGGGATGAAATAAAATCAATCCCCAGCTAAGGTCTGGATATGATTTTGTCTCATACAAATTATAAGTCAATTTGGGCAGGTTTGTATCATCTATTTTACTGATCTAGAGGAATTATAGACACCATAAATCGGATTGCATACAAAACCATTAATCTTTGACGTACACATTTAGTTTTATGAATTTATTAAAACATTTAACTTTTATATTCTGAGTATTGGCACTAAACTGTCAAGGTCCAGCAAGAAAAGACACTAATCTTCGTCTAAGCACAGTGGAAACAGCCTCGACACTGTTGCAGAGGAGTGGCACCATTCTGACCCGAAGTTAAAGTTAGCTAGGCGATCGGAGAATGGCTTTACACTTGATAATGGTATGTACGCCTGCAAGTTTTTTGTTTTTTTTGGTAAATTTCAACTTGCCTGTTTATCTAAATGACCCAGTAACTCTTATCTCACAGAGTTGTTGGTGGAAACTGGACAAGCACAAACCCAACAGCATGAAATTATCAATCAATCACTTGACAAGATAACTGATTCAAACAGAAAGTAACATCTCTGTATTCTTAAGAGTCTCCTAAATTAAAAAAAAAAAAAAAATCAAAAAGATAAAAAAACTGATGAATTTATGATGAATGCAGGCAGTTGAAGACTCATTTTGACACACCAGGATCTGCCAAAGTAGAATCTTTGAACCATTTAGCTTTAGGGATGAACAAATAGAGCGCAGCATCTCTCTTCTATCAAACTTGTGGTATTCACTTCTATTCGATGTAGGGATTGATCTCAAATATTTGTTATTAAAATTGAGATGATTGTCTATTTTTATGTGCCAGTTCTTGCTACAAGAGACCACAGTATGTAGAAATTAGAGGTGGACATGGTCCAGTTCGGTTTGGTTCCGAACCGAAATTTTCAGGTATTTAGTAAGTGGAACCGTCGGGTCCAAATTTAATTATGGAACCGTTCAGGTTTGATTTCATTCGGTTCAATTCGGTTCCTAGGTTCCGTACAATAATTAATTTTTTATATTTACAACAACGTTACATTAATTCTATTATAATATGTTTAATATTAACTCTTACAAAATAACGTAGTTCAATCTAGTTATATATTTTGCAAAAAAATTTGTTGAATTCTTCATATATATGACTATTAAAATCATAAGAAGATGAAGATAGCGAGTTCACAATAATAGAACTGCGGAAACGATACTAACGTAGAAAATTGAAAATTGTAAAATCATATTTTAGATTTGAACTAAATTAATTAGTTAACAAATTCATGTAAAATAAATAATTTGACTTATTTAAGATAAAAAAAAATAGGAAGATTCGGTTCGATTTAGAATCGAGAATCGAACCAAACTCGTCTATTCTTGATATAGATACTCATTCGAATATTTAATTTGAAAAGAACCGCTCAATTCGATTCGGGTCCGCTTCGATTTCACTATGTTACAATCTATGGGTGGGTTGTTATGGGAATAGGATATCCAAGGCCTACGGGGTTAGCTGTAGCAAAGATGAAAGATAAGTGAGAGGTTATGTTTCACTACAGTTATTCTTGCATTCTTATAATCTTGAGGGGTTGCTCAATTGGTCAGGTCTTGGATTTGCTCCCTAATGGTCACCAGTTCGAATCCCCTCATGGCCACTGAGGTGAGTATCCGACCATAAACTTCAGGGTCTCGTGGAATTAGTCGAGGTGCGCTCAAATTGGCCCGAACATCCACGATTATCAAAAAAAAAAAAAGTTATTCTTGCACTCTTTATGTTCTAAGAGGTGTTCTCGGTATTTAATCCAATCATTCTAATGCAGCACTTTAGTAGTCGAATTTTTGCTGGCAGAAGTACGGACTTCATTACAGTTTGGCTATTTATTACGGCTTTAATTTTAGATCAACATATTCAATTGTGAATTCCCGATGCTTCTGGCTACATTTCTGTAATTAAAAAATCAAGTAGAAATTGCACCCCTTACCCATACAATTTAATAAATTTTCAAATTTTACTATATAATAATTTTTTTCATTAGTTAGAGAATCTAAAAGTCGAATTGAATTATATATATTTAAATCACATAATAATTCCAACAATATTTCCTTGTAATCTGGAAGATTCAATTCGGGAATATACATTTCTACAACAATATTTAATTCTTTATGATTTGATATTGAAGAAGAAAGAAACCAGATTTTGATTATGGACAGAGACGAATTTGGATACTTTCGTCCATTATAAATTATGAATTTTGTATTGATTTTGGAGAGTAATTAATTGATAGGCTTAATATTAGAATGATTTGAAAAAATGTCAGTTACACCTTTGTCTGAAATGTATGCAACATTTCTCAAATTATTTACCAGTCCTGATAGTATTTTCTGGATTATAAGCGTCATCATAATGATGCAAAAACGAAATTTTTTTCCGATCAAGCGGAGAGTCTTTCCATTGGGCTTTGGGCAGTGGGGCCAGAGAAAAGGCCAGCCCAATAAAAATCTAATATTCGATCTTCGAGCGCCATCTTTTATATCGATGATTTACTTTTTGAACGAACCATGAGTCACATAACGAACACACGTAGAATTTAAGCCGATGTTTGGCTTACTTGTTCCAAGTGTTTATAAACATTTTTTTTTCAAATTACTCTTTATTCACGAATTTCTTGAACAATAACTGCCACTCTTCACCACTATTCATTAGCCCAATTTATAAATGAACAATGCTGTACGTACAAAAAATACAGCCACGGAATTCATACAAAAAAGATACAATAGGGGGGATAGGTGGTTTTTTTTTTTTTCAATACTTTACTTGCATGGTTTTCAATATTTTAGTCACACGAGGCCCACCTCATGTGAGTTTTCTTTATGAATTATGTGTGCATTTTTTGTACGTGGAGCATTCTTCTTTATAAATATACTACCAGACTTCCCTAAACTAGCCAAAATTGCTAAAGTAGTTTCCATTTTTAGTTTTTCACCCTAATTGAAATCAGTCATAGGACCTGAATCCATGATTTAACTGTTGAGCCCATAAATAGATTTCGGTCTTGCTATAAGTACATCACCCCTTATGTAAGGGGTGATGTACTCTTAGCCTTATTCAATAGATTTTTAAGTTCGAATATCTTAGTCCTATGTACTTGGATATAGGATACTAAGACATAGCAAATGTAAATTGATATCTTAAAATTACTTTTCCATCATCATTATATTATGATGGATGTAAATCCAAATTTTGTTCGAACGAAAATATCTAAATCCACTTTTTTGCCTCTCTTAGAAAATTTACATATTTTTTTACATTTTTTTGTCAGAAAAAAAAATAGAATTTTCATTTCCTCTACATTTCCCCATTGGAGAGGTTTCCAATTCCTTCGGGGATCTAAATCACAATTTATATATATCTTTTACGCCACAATTGGAAATGTTCTAACCCAAATATACATTTGCTGGGTAAATTGTTAGCTTTCTTTTGGTCTGTAGTGCTCATCACTCGGTTTGAAGATTTTTTTTTTTTTTAACAATCGTGAATGTTGAAACCAGCTTGCACGTACCTCAACTAATTTCACGAGGCCCTGAAATTTACGGTCGGGTACTCACCTCAATGACCCTAAGAGACTTGGTTTGAAGATTTTCAAATTAAAATTTTCAATTCCTTCGCTCAATCCTCCTAACTTTCCCAATCACTTTAACTGTTCTAAGTGTATCTTTCTCCAACTTCTTTCCAATAGACTGGCAATCGACATTTTATCTAGAGTTATTCCCCTAAACCTCAGTACCTCACAGGCACCTTACAACAAGGTTACCCGTTTTAGCTCGCGTTTCCCAGTAATATATCTATCTGTACACATAGCATAAGTCGTTTATGTTATAACATCAACTAATTTTGATTTTCTTGGTAATTGGTAAAAATATTTATTCTGGGGGTGATGATTGGTGTACATAAAAATTGCTCCATAGTGATGCCCATTTACTCACATAGGTTAGGGACCACTCACTCGAATATATTTTTCTAGCGATCCTCACCCCATGTGAGTGTATGGACACTATTATGAATCAATCTATGTACACTTAGCATTATCCTTATTCCGGATCAATTATTAGTTCAACAATGCTATTTGTATATTCAACAATTGACACCCCAAATGACACCCGCCTCACATAAGTAGGGCACATAATTATTTTATTACGTGCTGGCTCCGCCCCCATGTGAAAGGGTATCACCCGAGATGTTAACTTGAATGTACACACTGCATAATGTTGTTAAGCACATGTTTGGAGTGACTAATACTAAATATAAACAAGGATTATGTTACCCGTATATAATTCATTGTACATAATGGTGTCCACACCCTCATAATATAACTAAAGTCGTCCCCTCCATGTGAGGGTGTAAACACCATTATATACAATAAATTATGTAAAAATAGCATAATTCAATAAACAATAAATGTATCGTTTATTATTAACGTTTATATTCTAAATAAGCTAACATTTGAAGCTTATCTTCAAAACAAGACACCATATACATGATCTAGTATTTAAGGTTAAGGACAGTTGCAAAAATAAACTTTTAGAGCTTATAATTAACAAAACTTGTCTCCGAATATGCTGTCCAACGATGATGTGATATTTAATGCTACCACATCACCGATAGGCAACTTATCTCCTACACACTATGAACAATAAATCAATTCTATAACTCCAAAAGTGTGGTCATTGTTTATGTTTGACAACTATACCCTTTCTCATAAGCTTTGTACAAACTATGTAGAAGAAAATGCACAAGATTATGAATCGCATCACTTACAAGCCAACTAATCACTCAACTTGTAAGTTATGAAACCGACAATTGTATACACATTGATCCACACAATTACCAAGCCCTCATAAGAAAGATCCTAAATAATTTAGACGAACAACTGGAAATAATTTAGCCCCTATCTTGGAGCGATTTTTATGAAATTTTAAGCATAATGCAATAATTAACTGCATTTCTCCAACTCATCCATGTGATATTACTTCAAGGAAAGTGATACTTGTATACTTTTGAGGTTTACACCCCTCGCATGAAGAAAACCCGCGCCCAATAAGTCATAATTTATTGCGCACAGACCTCTCCATATGAAAAGGTGTCAACCCAGGTGTACACCTCATATGTGTATTATCTCCCTTACTTCAATGGAAAAATCCATTCGTACAACGATTAAAAGATTGTAACATTTACAATCTCTCACATTAGACTGAGACCCACTAATTACTTAATTAATTAATGAACCACACCATAATACAAGAGATTATAAAAATTACAATCCATTATACACATAGCATTATTAGTCATTCATAAAACCCACAACCTGTAGCATAGTACAAAGAACATTTTTAGTAATATTTTTATAGGCAGTCACTTATTGCAACTGTAACATCGTGTATCCTTTATAAGGGGAAAATTTGCTAAAAATAGCTCCCAAACAGGGGCTTAGTAAAGCCATTTATTTCATTTTAACGTCTTCTTACCATTTAAAGGTAGAACTTTTAACCCGATTTCCAGCTTAAAACTGATATCTCACAATTTATTACATTCCCAAGTAGAATCCTTTATCCTTCAACCCAATTCCCAATGTGAAATATGCTATCTGTACATAATAGTATACACACTCTCGTATGACTGAGTCACATCCATGTGAAGGCGTGAACACCACTATGTACACAAAATTATGTGCATAAAATTATGTACACATAGACAAGCTCTCCCACTGTAGTCTGGCCAACTGTTTTAACTTCACAATTCTAGAAAACAATTATCTGGTTCTCCTATTCCAAGTATCATTTTGTCTGAAATCAACATGTAGCAGCAGACAGGTAACACGATGCCATACATTAAGAACATCGAGCTGTTTAAAACTGTCAATTTCATATATGCTTCGGGAAACTTGAACTCTCCTATTACAGTCAAGAAAAGAGTTCACCATTAAGAAGCAACTATCCCTATTGAAGAAAGGGGTACATCAAAGTTTAACACACAATTCAAATGTCAGTGTGCATTCCAAATAATTGAACAAACTACAATTGAAATGCAGTTTGTTGCTAATAATTACCAGTAAACGCAGTGCCAAACGAATGTAAATACCCCCACAAACCCTAATTGATGAATTAATGCGTTTCCGGCATCGAATCGCCATTGAACAGAATTGGTAATGGACACAAATCACAAAAAAAAAAAAAATCAATCATACACAAGTTAATGCAATCAATTGATTATATATACATATAAATTAAATAGAATTGAAGAAAAAAAATTTAAAATCAATATTCAAATGCTCAGTGGAAGGAGAAGTCGTTAATTAATTAGGCTCACGGATAATCCACTGCCCAAAAACACCAATTGGTGCCTTACCTCTTCATAGCACAAAAAAATAAAAAATTCATTTTTCAAAATAGTGAGGACTTCAGAAAACATATAATAATTAAAAGGGGAGGCTTCAGTGTGTGTAACAATCAGATCATTGATTTATAAAATCTCACTGAAATCCGCTAAGATAATTCATTTATCATCATAAGCCAATTGATAATCATAAAAATCGATTTTTTTTTAAAAATATGATTGAAGGATAAGAAATTGATCATACGTGTTTATGCTCAGACAGCCAAGGGTTAGTCTTCAACTTCTGGAGCTTGAGACCCAGATCGGAAACTCTAGTCCATAAATTACTATCATCACTGCAGCGAAACACGCATATAGATAAAATATAAAATAAATTTGAGAAGGAAGTGAAAAAATTCAGATATAATTATAAAAAAGAAGTTGAAGAATTAGGAGAGAAGGAAGAGCCCGAAATGAGGTTGGAGAAAAGGGTGTAGAAAATAGTGAGAACGATGGTTATATATACAAAGTGCGTGTATATATTTTACGTTACTAGGGTTTCTGAAAGCAGCGCGCTTTTGCTAGGGTTTTATTATAGTGATGGGCCTTAGTGTTTGTGGGCTGTCTACGCAAATTGGATTTGCCCAGACTATTTAGCTTACGTTTGAGCATCATTTTTTTCAAATCTCATTTTTCTACAAATTTATTTTTAATTATATATTCTTTCATAAAATAATTTTACACATAAATTTAATTTTTTTTTTCTATTTTCCAACCACATATCTTCAAAAAATCACTATTCCAAAATTTCCTCCCACAAAAATAGGGCTCAAACAGGGCCATTAGTATCAAGTGATTTTTGTGCGAAAATGTCAATTAAAATAAAAAATGAACTTGGAACATCTTCCATGTTATTGTGAATTGCATTAAAAAATTATCAAAATCGATAAAATTACAAAATTTCTTCTCCAAAAAAATATGCTTAGGAATTTGTTGATCATCGTGACAAGGAAAAAAAAGACATTAGCAACGTGATCGTCTAGAAGTGGAGACTCTTCTAAACGAAGCAAGTCGCAGTATTTTGATATTCTCTATCTTTTTCTCTCTCTTGATTCCTGTTTTCCCTCTATTATTTATTATTTTTTCAAGGGTACACACATAGGAGATGAAATTCAAATAATGGGCCGAACTCATTTTGTAATGAAATTTGAAATTTAATAAACTACAAATACCAATAATTTATTTATTAAATTATTCAAATCATAATAAAAATCAATAAATATTCATTGATAAAAATAAAATAAATAATCGAAATAGATAGCATCGTTAAAGTGTATAAAAATTTTAAAAAACAATCTTTGTTTTACATATGATTTTCACAATAAATAAAGAGAGAAAAAAATTCATAAATAAGAGATTAAGTATGACACATTCCAAAACTTAAAAAACAATGTTTAAAATTTCAAATATTAAATTTTTAAAATTTTATTTATAAGGTAATTAATTAAACATATATTTTATTAATTAAATATATAAATGTCACAATTCTATACAGTTTGATCACAAATTATAAATTAATTGGTCACAATAAAAATTTTTATAGGTCACGATCACAAATCAAAAGTGTTATAAGTCACAATTTATTCATCGGTCAAAAATTTACCAAATTAATCGATCACATATTATTCATTGGTCACAAATTTTATAAGTCACAAAATATCTGATTAATTAATCACAAATTAATTTTCGGTCATAGAGTCTCAAATTATTGGTCACAAATTAATAAATTTTTAAGTAATACGTTATTTATTGGTCACAATTTATCTATTTCATTGACCACATATTTATTGGTCACACATTAATCAATTTATTGATCACAAACAATCAAATCATTTGTGATCACCACCAATCACATCGTCGTCGAAACCATCACTGCCACATCCACGTTGTAAAATCATTCGCGGCCAACATTACCACCACCCCGATAGTAAAACCATCCACAGCCAAACATTGCCGCCACCGCCATCGCCACCGCCACTGCCACCCAATCACAACCACTGTACCACACCGCCACATCACCACCACCATCCAAACACCACTAAGGGCTTGTTTGTCTCCCTTTGTTTGAAAACATTGTTTTCTATAGTAACATTCTCCACCACACATTCAATAATAAAATATTCTACACACAAACCAATAAAATTTATTAAAATTTTAACCACATATTCTCCAAAAAATATTATTCAAAACTCCATTCTTTCTCCCATAATAGGAGACAAACATGAGCTAAATAATCAAATTCAAAATTATTATAGCCACCGCCACAGCCATTGCCACACCGATCTATGACAATAGCAATCGCCTTCATCATCTTATCATCACAACACCACCACCATCATCCAAACACCACTAAATAATCAAATTCAAAATTATTACAATCACAATCACAGCCACACCCAAAACCACACCTGATCCACAACCATAGCAATCGCCTTCACCATCACAACAACACCGCCTCATCGTCGCCGTCGCCACCCCACAATCTGAAATAGAAACAAAAGCAAAACAACCTAAAACTACCACCAACCCAACATCACCCAACCATCAACACCACCACAACATCAAAACCACCACTAGATTTCTCCACTCCAATAGAGATGACGCCTATACATAGCGACTGCGATTAAGCAGATCAAATCAGAGGAGAACGAAATCACCCTAAAATATGTTATGGTTGGAGCTCAATTTCATCCAAAACTAACTAAACTTCAATCAAAATTAAAACACAATTGAATATAATCAGCTGGGAATCAATAACCCAAGATGGAACTTCATTAATTGATTGGAATTAGACAGAAACGACAAAATTTAAATTGAATTTCATTGATTGATAAGTTCTATTACAATGTGAACAAATATAAAACAGAAAAAGAAGGATCGACATAGTAAGAAGAGACAGAGAAGATGGAGATGGCTTTAAAGAAGAAGAGAAGAAGGAGAAAGCTGAAGAAATTGAGAAGAAGACCGGAGAAACACAATTGAATATAATCAGCTAGGAATCAATAACCCAAGATGGAACTTCATTAATTGATTGGAATTAGACAGAAACGACAAAATTTAAATTGCATTTCATTGATTGATAAGCTCTATTACAATGTGAACAAATATAAAACAGAAAAAGAAGGATCGACAGAGTAAGAAGAGACAGAGAAGATGGAGATGGCTTTAAAGAAGAAGAGAAGAAGGAGAAAGCTAAAGAAACCGAGAAGAAGACCGGAGAAGGAGGAGAAGACGATGAGGATGAAGAAACTAGTGAGCAGAAGGACAATAGGGCAGAAGACTGGAGAGGAAACCACATTCAATTCATCAATTCACCCCCAATTCATCGTCCAACTTCAACATATATGGAACAAAACTGGGCTTTGGGCTAGCCCACCTAATACAAGCCCACTAAAAACAAGAAATTAGCCATGACGTCCCTCCTCCTTAAATTAACCTTGTTCTCAACGTTCAAAATCGGGATGTCTTGGATTAAGCAGGTAGTGCAAGATGACACGTCTCATTGTACTCTTCTTCAGACTCATATGTGGCATCTTCACCAGGAATCATATCCTCTAGCCTCAGTTCTTTCTCAAATTTCTTTCCTTCATCTATGGGGTGTCCATTTTCATCTTCTTCGATCTGATTCTGAAATGCGTATTCATCTACAGGCATCTTCGAATCAAGAATTACTTTAAATACATCACCAGGTTGAATCAGTATGGCATTAGTTTCCCTTTCTCTGACAATTTCCCCACCTTTCTGGAATGACAGAATAACATCAGCTTTTACTGTAGGTTTCACTTATGCCCTAACGTCTGTAATGCCAACCTCCTTAGTAATAGCCTGAGCAGTTCTCCAATTATCATCCATAACCATAATAAGATTCACACGAATTTTCATAAGACCCTCTACTACAACAACAACTCCTCCCTTTAATGCATCTGCTACCACAAGAATACCAATTAGATCGTTATCATATGCCACGAATATTCCTGTCCTGGTACTTTCTTCCAACTCAACCAAAATTTTCTCCACAACGCTTGGTATAAGCACTTGATTTTCAATAAGCAACTTTCAGTTAACAACCAAAATATGTTTCCCATCTATAAAGTCATGACTCTCACTTTGTTGAACATCAACATCTTGTATTTCACCATTGCTCTCAATTTTGGCATTTTCTTGCCTTTTGACTTCATCTTCACCTTCAGCAAAAGCATCCAATGGATTATGAATATGTCTCGGCCACAATAACTGACTCCTAATTAATGGATTATAAATGTGTCCAGGCCATAACGGTTGACTCCAAATTTTTCCACAAACAATATTTCCTACATGAAATCCATGATCCCGACCTACTACTTTTTCTTCATTCTCCACTTTTTCATTAGGAGCAACCAAAATTTCAGTATTCCTCTCAACACACACTTCTTTCCATGTATTCTTAACAAACCTCTTACACAATTCTTCAGATAATATTCCCCAATCTGCATTAGGATGGCTTGCAATAAATCCATAAAATCATATATAAGTTCGTCAGGAGTTTGATGAAGTTGGAAATATTTCATGGCCTTCCTTAACCATTCCCTAGGTCCTTCTCTCTCAAACTGAGGAAAATCAATTTTAGGGAATATACTATTTCCCTTAAATTCACCTCTAGCATGAGCATCATTCTCATTAATACCATCCATTGGTGTACAAATCACATTCCCAGACCTCCAATTAACAACCGACCCTTCTATCCCTTTGTTCTTATGTTTTGTTTCATCCATATCAGTAACAGTGCCATTCCATTGTTTATAATCACTACTCGAAACTATTACACTCTCTGCACTGAAGTTTTGTTCATCCTTCTCAACACCTAAATCCAATTCCAACTTTTCAAAACTATTCTCCATGATAGTTTTCATCTCAACAACTCGCGTGGTAACTACAACAACTAAATCATTGTCTATGTTCAAATCCTAAGAACTAACCTGCTTTACCAGTTTCTCTTCCGGTTCAGAACAAGAACCCAGTTCCCTTCCAGTTTGGAATCTGAATCATCCATTTGCATTTCAGAGGACTCGGCTATTTCTGGGCAATTGTTGGACTGGTCTTTGGAGGCTGATTTAGCATCGATAATTTTAGTCATCAATGAAATCAGTAGCTCATGCTTCCGATTGATTTCTTCCATTATGCTATCCAATCGAGAAACACCCAAAGACTGAAGCTGCTCTGATACCATTTGTTATGGTTGGAGCTCAATTTCAACCAAAACTAACTAAATTTCAATCAAAATTAAAACACAATTGAATATAATCAGCTGGGAATGATTAACCCAAGCTGGAACTTCATTAATTGACTGGAATTACACAAAAACGACAAAATGTAAATTGCATTTCATTGATTGATAAGTTCTATTACAATGTGAACAAATATATAACAGAAAGAAAAGGATCAGTAGAGTAAGAAGAGACAGAGAAGATGGAGACGGCTTCAAAGAAGAAGAGAAGAAGGAGAACGAAGAAGAAAGAGAAAGCTGAAGAAACCGGGAAGAAGACCGGAGAAGGAGGAGAAGACGGTAAAGAGGAAGAAACCAAAGAGCATGAGAAGAAGAGGGCAGAAGACTAGAGAGGAAACCACATTCAATTCATCAATTCACCCCCAATTCATCGTCCAACTTCAACCTATATGGAACAAAACTGGGCTTTAGGCTAGCCCACCTAATACAAGCCCACTAGCTAATACCCAATAACAAGAAATTAGCCATGACAAAATACCCCAAATTTTCTCTTCTACCGAAGACAAAAATACCCAATCCCCTCCCCATATTTTTCTGCAACGATGGCAGGTGCACAGCCGGACAAAGCTGCTGCGAGTTTGCAGCAGTCTTGCCACTACCGTTCGAAGCCGCTGCGAACGACCGAGTTCACAATGGCCCACTAGAGAGATAGAGAGATCGCGCACGACCGTGCTTACCGTCGCGCACACCGTCGCCGCAAGCACCGTCGTCGATGATGCGCCTATTACCGCCACGATCTCGCAGGTGCTAAGTACGGTGTGGGGGTGAAAATTGAAGACGAATTAGGTCTTGTGGGTTGGTGTGGATGAGTAAGGGTGGTGTTGAGTCAAATTAATTTAATTTTATAATATTAATGAGTTTAAATTATCTGATTTTTGAACAAAAAAAATTTCAAATCTGATTTTTGAATTGTGAAATTAAAAACTCTGAATTGGTGTAATTTCCACAGTAAAGAGTCCCTTTGATGCGCTCAAATTGTAAAGTTTCAATTGGGCAACCATTATTTGAGGACCAAGATTTTCAATTGTGCTTTTTTGGGCAAGCTTTCTGACGCAATGTCTGGTTCTAAGGAGAGCAGGCACTCTCCTTTTATTTATGGGCCATAAGGAGCATCACCATGATAATTTTCCCAAAATTTATTCCTAGAGCATTTTTGAACTTGATTAAACAATATATTATTTAGAAATTTGTGTCAAAATAAAGATTTTTTTTACAATTCAAAAATTAGAAATAAATAAATTACTCATTTTGATAGTAATGTATGAGTTGCTCTTAAAACAGTTTTCTTTTTTTATTTAAATGTAAGGAAAAGTAAATTATATTTTTTATTAGAAAAATTTACTTAAAGGTGTTGGAGTTTGACTCAAATTAATATTTTATTTCGATTTAATGTAAAAAAAAAAATTGAGTAATAAAGAGATAGATGCCTATTCCAGGGAAAGACAATAATTGATGAGAAAACAAAGTGTAGAAAGGAAATAGGAACAAGACAAAGATTTACCGTTTATTTTTGAAAAAAAAGTGCTAGCGGGCCGGCGGGCCGACCCGGCCCATGCGGGCTTGCTGTCCGGGCATCGGTCCAGGCCGGGTCAGCCATTCCCTCACCCGGTCCGGGCCGGACCAGCCCGGGAAGCCAGCACGAGCCGGTCTATTTTTACCTCGGGCCGTTACCGAGCTTTTCCATTTGCGGCCCGACCCGGCTCGCCCATTTTTACACCTCTAGGTGCACCGCCGGACAACGCTGCTGCGAGTTCGCCGCAATCTTGCCACTATCGTTCGAAGCCGTTGCGAACGACGGAGTTCACAACGGCCCACTAGAGAGATAAAGAGATCGCGCACGACCGTGCTTGCCGTCGCGCACGCTGCCGCCGCAAACACCCATCGCCGGTGATGCGCCTATCGCTGCCACGATCACCGGTGCTAGGTACGGTGTGTGGTTGAAAATTGAAGATGAATTAGGTCTTGTGGGTTGGGGTAGATGAGTAAATTTCTCTCCACAACCTCGCCTCCTCCCACCACCACCGCCCGTCACTTCCTCTCCTTCTCGCCTCTCTCTTCTTCCCTCATCTCTCTCCCTATCTCTCTGTCCTCTGTGTGGTGGTGTGTGCGGTGTGTAGTAGGTGTTGTGTGGTGGTGTGTGTTGTTGTTTTGGGGGCGGTGGTGAAAGGTGTTTTGGCGGTGGTGTCCTCTCTCTCCGAACGCAGTGTTGACGCTACTGTGAACGATGGGTTTACGATCAAACCAGCTTGGTGGAACATGGGTTTACGATCCCCGAGTCGAGTCTGACCCGCTCTGCCTTGATCCCAACAGAGAAATTGTACATGGAAGTTTTTATTTTTCTCTCTGCACTAATTTACCTAGACAACTTATGGGGTTTTCAGATTATCCGTTTGAGATTAAGAATCGCAAGCACTGGACCTTATTGTATGACTGGGAACAAGTACATGTGGAAACTTTGTTATTTTTTTTTTTTTTTTGGTTATTCTCCTCTGTACCTGAGCTGTTTGTATTATTCCTTAGGTGGGTAACATGACAAGATGGGTGATGGTGGATCTGTGGTGTGGTGATGGTGATCCATGTGGTGGTGGTCTTTTTTGTTATTGGTGTGGTGGGGTCGACTGCGATGGTGGATTTTTTGGTATCTGTGACCTAACCTAACTATTGAACTGTGACTTTAAAATTGATAATTTGTAATTAAAAAAAAATCTGTGACCAAAAAATTTGAAATACGTGACCTATGACGTATAATTTTTTTGATATGTGACCAATAAAATAATCAGTGACCTATAAAATTTTAGATTTATGACCTCGAAATAATTCGTGATCTACAATTTTTTTTATCTGTGACCGATTAAAAAACTGTGATCTATAAAATTTTAAATTTGTGACCTCGAAATAATCCGCGACTTACAAAATTTTTGATTTGTGACTGGGGAACAGTCGTCGGAGTGGTCACCGGTCAACGAAGTAGTCGCCTGAGCAGTAGGGAAGGTGGAGGTGGTGTGTGTTAATTATATTATATTACAGTTTAATATTTAATTTAATATAATAATTGTGAAATATAATTAATTAATTCATGAAAA